TACTCTTATTTTACAGGACAAAAATCAACTTTTTCTTGCCCACCCTGCACCAGGACAGGGCCTTTCTTTTCATCATCGCCCTTCAAAAAACCCCAAATCATCCCTCAAAAAAGATAAACTCAAGGAAAAACAGCAAAAAAAAAAAAAAATCCTAAAACTGAACAAGCAATAAAAATCTCTTTTACACTGTTTTATGTCCATCCTCTGCTGCAACTGAAAGATCATAATGGAAGTGGCACAGCACATGGAAAAGAGGAGAAAATATTCCAGTGAAACAGTTCTGAAGGTCTAGAACAGATCCAGTCTTAAAATTCTGTATTTAGGCCAAAAAAAAAATCCCTAACTTATCTTACATCCCATCTTTACTTTTGTTTTACTTGCTCTTTTTTCCCATTTCCTTTTCACCCCCTTTAAATCCCCAGCACTTCCAGGGCAAGAAGGAATAAAGGCAGCCTTCAGAAATCCCAGTTCTTCCAATTTTATGAAATTTTTGTCACTTAATACATGGAAATCCTGAGGTGAGATATTCCCAGAGCTGCTTGCAGCTTTCCACGGGTTTTAGGATCACCATGGAATGTTTTAGGATCACCATGGAATGTTTTAGGATCATCAGGGAATGGTTTGGGTTGAAATAGGCCTGGGAGATGCCCTAATTCCAAACCCTCCTGATATGGGCAGGGTTTTGGGTTTTTCCTGGCACACAGGAGGAATTTCCAGCTGGAGAAACACCAGGATCTGTCCTAGGACAAAGGGGTGGCTCCCCCCAGCCCAGAGCCACCCTGATTTGTGTCCCTAAACTCCGCCCTGCGGTCTGTGAGCTGTCACTGCTCCTGTCAGAGGTTAAAAATAAAAAAAAAATCCCATTTTTTCATCTCCCCTGAGCCTGGCCCTGAAATAAAGAGGATTAAAGTTSAGGCAAGAGCATTTTGTCTGGGCACCCTGTCAGAAATGGAAAATTATGGCATTCGGGGAGCGGGGAGGGGAGCTACAGGAAAGAAATACAGAATGGAATTATCAGAGAATGGTAAAATTATGGAATATCCTGAGTGGGAAGGAACCATGGGATCATGGATCCAGCTCCTGGCCCTCAAAAAAATCCCCCCTGTGCATCCCTGGAGCTCTCTGGGACCATTCCCTGGGGAGCCTGGGCAGTGCCAGCACCCTCTGGGGACAGAAAAACCTTTCCCTGAAATCTAAAACTAAAATATATATTTTTTATAAATATAAATACAAATACATTGTAGTATTATAATATATTATATTTAACCATAATATTTTTAAAATAAATAAATATCAATATAAATGACATTAATCCAGGTTTTTCACCCGAGCTCAGTGTTGATACATCCCCGTATTTTCACCCAAGCCAGCCCAGGGATCCCTGCCCCCTTCCCTGTGCTCCTTTCTATTCCCAAACCCTTTTTTCCTCCCTCCTCCACCTTTTCCCGAATCCCTCTGATTTTTAAACCACGAAGCCGCCGCTTTGATGAATCATTTTTCTCATCCCCCTTTTTTTTTTTCCCGGGCGCTTTTCCTCTCCCTCSCCCGGCGCTCCGATGCCTGGGTGGGCTCGTGCCGCCGTTCACGCACAGATGTGGCATTGACAATTCCGGCGGGAGGGAGGGATGGAGGATGGGATGGAGGATGGGAGGGATGGAGGTGGAGCTGGGCTATTCACGGCATTTCCTCGCTGCTTTCTCCCGGGAGAGGCTCCAAGAGCCGCCGGTCCCACACTGGGGGGATTCATCCCGTGAGCTCCAGCAGGATCCTCCCTTCGGTTCAAACCACGGCAGAATCGGCCCTTCCTCGCTAAATTTCAATTCCATTTGGCTTCAATCCATCCCAGCCGCCCCAAAGTCAGCCCTGCACGCCGAGGTCACGGCTCTGAGCGCCCYCAAAGCACAATTCCCGCTCGCCAGAAATAGAAGGGATGAGCTGTGCCTCAATTCCCCCAGAGCGGCTCTGCCTGAGTGGCTCCAGACACCTCAACCCAGGCACCATGCTAATTAGTGAATTAAGGATGTCTGGCTAACGAGGAGCTGCCAGGGAARGGAAGGAGCCTCAGGCTCCTGGAGGCCACGGGCTGGGCAGGAACATCAGCTGGGAGCTCGGGAAAAGGCAGCTGGGACACAGGGATGGATGGAGAGGAAATGTGTTGGGAAAGGAAACGGGAAAGGAAATCTGGGAAAGGAAATATGCTGGGAAAGGAAATCTGGGAGAGGAAATCTGGAAAAGGAAATCTGCTAGGAAAGGAAATCTGGGAGAGAAAATCTGCTGGGAAAGGAAATGTGTTGGGAAAGGAAAACTGCTGGGAAAGGAAATGGGAAAGGAAACCTGGGAAAGGAAAGGTGTTGGGAAAGGAAATCTGCTGGGAAAGGAAATGGGAAAGGAAATGTGCTGGGAAAGGAAATGTGTTGGGAAAGGAAATCTGCTGGGAAAGGAAATGGGAAAGGAAATGTGCTGGGAAAGGAAATGTGTTGGGAAAGGAAATGTGCTGGGATAGGAAATGTATCGGGAAAGGAAATGTGTTGGGAAAGGAAATGTGTTGGGAAAGGAAATGTGTTGGGAAAGGAAATGTGTTGGGAAGGCGAGGAAGCATGGAGACTTTGGGAGAGGGAAAATCTGGGATTTCCACCCTCCCGGAGACCAGCAATCCCAATTTTTTTGGGATTGATTCCTGGAGTTACAGCCCCAACAAGAGGGAGCTTAAAACAACGGATTCATACAGGAAAAAATCCAAGAGAAGGGCAAATCSACCAGAAATTCCACAAAACTGAAACAGCTTCTCCAAGAATTCWACCTAAAGGCTTAGAGACCTTCCCGCAAATGATTTCAACACAAATCCTTGGATATTTCCGTCCGAAACAATTAAACCTCAAAGAAACACACTTTGGGTGGAATCAATGAAGGAATCAATGAAAGAATCGACGTTGCGGTTGATGGGGGAATAGGTCAGATCAATCCCTGCAATCGATGGGARGAGATGGAAAGGTTGGGGCTTTCCCACAGGGTGTTTTGTGGGATAAAATATCTTGGGTTTCGACACAGAACGGGAAAGAAAGGGAATTATTGGAGGGGTTGGAGAGGTCATGGAGATGGAGCCAGACTGGGAGAGCTGGGAATGTTCACCTGGAGAAGGGAAGGGTCCAGGGAGAGCTCAGAGCCCCTTTTGGGGCCTGAAGGGGCTCCAGGAGAGCTGCAGAGGCACTGGGGCCAAGGGATGGAGGGACAGGACACAGGGAATGGGGTCACACTGGAAAATGGGGGATTGGGGTGGGATCTTGGGAACTGGGAATTTCAGGAATTGCTGGGATGGAATTGCACCCCTGGATCCCTTTGAGTGCCCAAGGCCAGGCTGGACATTGGGGCTGGGAACAGCCTGGGACAACGGGAGGGGTCCCTGGGTTGGAATGGGATGAGCTTTAAGGTCCCTTCCAACCTAAACCATTCCAGGATTCTGGAGAGGGACTGGGGCCAAGGGATGGAGGGACAGGACACAGGGAATGGGGTCACACTGGAAAAGGGGAGATTTGGGTGGGATCTTGGGAATTGGGAATTGCTGTATGGCGTGAACAAAACAAATGGGAACGGGTTTAAGGTGAAATGGGTGGATTTAAATGGGATATTGGGATGGAATTCCACCCCTGGATCCCTTTGAGTGCCCAAGGCCAGGCTGGACATTGGGGCTGGGAGCAGCCTGAAATGGCAGAAGATGTCCCTGCCATGGCAGAGGTGAAATGAGATTCTGAAATTTCACGGTTCTTCCAACTGTGAAATTTCACGGTTCTTCCAAGCCAAACCACCCCAAAATTCCACAGAAGAGCCCCAAAGCCACGGGCTGAGCCGATCCTCACCGGTTTTGTTGGAGAGGCGGAAGGAAACCATTTTA